AGCAGGGTCCCTGCGGAGCAGGGAGCCCGATGTGGGACTCGATCCCAGGACGCTGGGATCATGACCTGAGCCGAAGGCAGACGCTTAACCGACTGAGCCGAGCCACCCAGGCATCCCTCCTTACGATTTTCTAAATAACATTTTCTTTTCTCTCATTTCCTTTATTCTAAGAATACAGTACATAATGCATATCACATACAAAACATATGTCAACCCACTGTTTATGTTATCGATAAGGCTTCCCAGCCAATAGAAGGCTATTAGTGGTTAAGTTTTGGTGGAGTCAAAAGTTCCGGTTTAGTAAAGTCATAAAGTTTTGACTGTGGCGGGGAGGTTGGTGCCCCTAACCGCCCCCTTCCCCTTGTTCACGGATCCACTGTGTAATTTTAACATTGTGACTTCTTCCATATATTAGATATCCAGGAAATACTTGTTGAATAAATGAGTGAATGTTAGAGACACTTGTAACCGAATTAGGGGAGAGGCTGCTATAGTGCTATGAATATGTTAAAAAATAAAATTATGGTCATATTTTAATAATAACTAATATTTTAGGGCTTTATATGTGCTAGGACTCTTCAACCCTTTAGATCATCTAATCTGATTTAATCGTCATAATTTTATGCTAGAGATACTGTTGTTGTCTAATTTTTTGCATCTGAAGAAGCTGAGGCAGAGAATGGCTCAGCGACTAGCTAAACTGATGAATTGATGAAGGCCAGGGTTCACAGTGGGGTCTGACCCCCAGAACTGTTACTCCTCATCACTGATTTGTGCTGCTTCCTGGTTCCGTGGCAGTGAAGAGACAGAAAAACATCTGAGGCAGACCTGAGGACTCTGACACACTGGAGTCTTAAGGCCAGAGAGTTTTGGTGGGAAGAAAACCACCTTTCAAGTCTCAGCGAATGAGGAGAATTTTACTTGATTAGAACACAATAGAGAAATTCACAGTGAAACCCTGAGTCATCAGGACATGTCCTTTTGTTTGATTTACAACCTGAATCTTGAGGGGAGTAGGAGGTCACCAGGGGAGCTTGCGGGGTGGGGACAGCAGGAATGTGGCCAGAAGAGAACATCTAGTTCTCAGGCCAGAAAGGTTGGCCCAATCCTGGAAGTGACGTGAGTAGTTTCCAGTGTCTGGAAATAGTGCGGACCCTTGATGGTAACCTTTTCCTCAGTTTCAGTGTCTGACAAGCCAGGGGAAAGGTTCTCGCCCCATCTCTTCTCGGAGCCGCCCTCCCTGTCCCTGTGTCCCCCATCCTGGAAGGCTGGAGACCGGGCTGAGCCCTGCAGGGTGGGGGAGTCCCGAGTGGTCTCTGCTGCCATCTGCCTCTGGGACTGGCTCTAACCATCCCTCTCCAGGAAGGACTGGGGCTCCCCGGGGAAATTCATTTGACTCTGTTTGTAATGCAATTCTGCACACCCCATGTCTAGAGCAAGTTGATTTTTGAAGATGAGAGGTCTTCCTTGGATGCGTGAGAGGGATTTCTTTTCTGAAAAGGAGACATTGGAAATCACTTTGCTGGCTGTCTGATAGCGTAGCTGTTGAACGAAAAAACTAGCCAGTGGGAACGCCAGTCCCGTGGACGGCAACCCAGAACTCCAGAGGGTCATGGCAGTACAAGGTGCTGGCCCTAGCTACCTGATAAATTGGACTCTTTTCAAGTGGCTTTACTTCTCCCTCTCTCCATTTGTTAATCTGTAAAATGAATATAACAATAGCTGCCTGTTATTACCCAGGAAGCTCCTGCAGGCAGAAATTATGAAGTTACTTAAGAGTTTCTGTTGTTGTTGTTGTTGTTGGTTTTCATAAGAGAGCTTTCTGGAATATATTGCTAAACTTAAGAGAATGATTCCCAAATTAAGAAGGAAGAATGATGTGTGTGATTTGAAGCAGCATACTGACTTACAAGTTCAATGGCCCCAGCCGTCCGCAGCACCCATCCCAGGGGCCCCTCCCCACCGCTCTGCTTACCATTTGGTGCTTGTGATCACGACAAGCCAACACGAAGGAAGTAAAGCTGGGTTGGGGCCTTTGGGAGGCCAGCAGCCTCAGCTGCACGTGGAGACCCCCCCACCTCGGGGTGCTCATCCTTTCTGGTTCCCTGGTTACACCCTCCAGTTTCACTCCTGGCCCACACATTGTGGATATCAGTGTGGCTACATCTCAAAAACACGGTTAAAAACAAGTTTTACAGGGGCGCCTGGGTGGCTCAGTTGGTTAAGCGACTGCCTTCGGCTCAGGTCATGATCCTGGAGTCCCGGGATCGAGTCCCGCATCGGGCTCCCTGCTCGGCAGGGAGTCTGCTTCTCCCTCTGACCCTCCCCCCTCTCATGCTCTCTCTCTATCTCATTCTCTCTCTCAAATAAATAAAATCTTAAAAAAAAAAAGGTTTTCAAAAGCATAAGAAGTATAGTATAGTACAGGACAAAAGCATCTTACCATATAATGTAATACAGAGCGACAGTATACTGCAAAAGCATAATTATAGTATAATATGATTTGTATAAAAATTTTAAAACGGGGCACTTGGGTGACTCAGTCAGTGGAGCATGTGACTCTTGACCTCAGGGTTGTGAGTTCGAGCCCACATTGGGTGCAGAGATTAAATTACTTAAAAATAAAAATAAAACAAAAGATAAAATAAATTTTTAAACACAGCAATACTGTGTATTATCTCGGGCACATTCATATGCAGTAAAAGTGAAAAACCATTCAAGCAACAACCACACCACTTTTCGGATAATGCGAATTACTCTCTGGGGCGGGAGAGAAGGTTGGGACTTTACTAAATCCTGCTGAAGTAAAAATATTTAGCAAATGTGGCAAAATTTCATCACTGTGAAGTCCGTTTGGGCACATGGTTATTATCTTGTCACTCTGGGTGCTCTTCTGTGTATTTAAAATGTTTAATGATTCAGAATTGAAAAGGTGAAATGAGTGCTTGTCCTGTGCCGCTTCTCTGTGTCTGGTGCATGCCCATGTTTCAGTTCTGTGCCTTCAGCTGGTGTTCTCCGTCACATGAATGTCACATTTCTCTAAAGAAACACTGTACCCGCTAGTACCTTACGGCTAAAGACATTTGGCGTTTGCAGGGGATCGGTCGGGTCTCGGGGGCATTGTTCCTGGATTCCCCAGCAGAGGGCGCTGCTCCACAGCAGATGTGAGGAGGGGAGCCTCGCCCGCATCCGGGCCAGCGCTCCGGGTGCAGTACCAGAGCCTCCCAGGGAAGCGCTCTTGCACCCAGTCACAGGACCGCAGGGCACCTAACTACCTGCAGCTTCCTTCATGCCTGTAGGGAGGGACACAGGCTCCACCATATTTGGCCGTTTGCAGACAGTCACGTTTCTCTGTATATTTATAGCCTTGGCTATTTCCGAGGCTAAGAATACAGAAATGATACCAGGGTACCAGCTCTTAGCACATGCCAAGAGCTTCCTCCGCCGTTGCATGGATGAGCCTGATGCTGATAGGTGAGGAACTCTTTCCTGGTAAACTGACCAGGCAACCTTCCTTTCATTTTAGGTGGAAAAGGATTATTCTTACTTGAAGGAGATATGTGATCATCAAGCAGAACAACTGAGCCGAACCAGCCTGAAACTGCAAGAGAAAGCGTCAGAGAGTGATGCGGAGATTAAAGACATGAAGGAAACCATATTTGAATTGGAAGATCAGGTGGAACAGCATCGGGCTGTCAAGTTACATAACAACCAGCTCATTAGTGAGCTAGAGAGTAAGTGAACTCGAGCCCTGGTCAGACGTGGATCAGGAGTGAGCACGATGTGAACCGAATGCCTGGGAGGGTCTGTGAGAATGGTTGTGAAAAGTCTTCCTTCCTCGTATTCGGCAGTCTTGTAGGAACAATGGCAGTCAAGAAAGGCAGAATGATTAACCTCTTTAACTGGAAAAGTGGGTGGTGTGGAAGGAAAGATTGTTGAACATGAGTCAGCAGCACGGGGTGATTGTGAAAAGAGCAAACACATTTTGGAGTGTTAGGTCTACTGTGCATGAGCCACACCACTGCCCATGCTCACTGGGTATTGACAGAGCATTGTCTTTTGGATCTGACGGGTAGGAAGACGGGTGACAGATGGTCAGATGGATTTGAACAATGGGCTAGGGAGAAAACAGTTCTAGCATGTGTCCCATTAAGCCAGGATATCAAGTAACTTCTAGAGATCGGCCACTTCATCACCAAAGAGGCTCCAATATTTGGCTTCTTTATGAACTCATTGTTTGCTTTGAATAGGGAAAGACGTTAAAAGGGATTAGGTAAACATTGCCTGCTTTGTCCAAATAAGCTTTATCAAATTATCACATCTGATGTGTTTTGCTTTTGTCACAAAGGAATTAAGGCACAGAGCTTTCCGTGACACTCACCATTGCTAAAAATAGCGTAGTTGGTTGCCTGAAAAGTTCCCCGACTTGTTCGCCCATCCTCATTATTTGCGGAAGCCATATCTGGGAATTCACCTGCTTGCCAGAATTTATTTGTAACCCCAAAATCAACACGGCACTTCTCACATCATTTGCAGACGTGCACAGAGAGCGCTGCAAAAAATTTTAGTCTCCCCAAGTGCATTCCCAGCTCAGCTTGAACAAGGTGACCCTTTGCCTTCTTCTTGTTTCAGCTCTCATACTGCAAACAAGTATCTTTCTCGTGGTTATTTGGTGCCATGATTTTATATTTTTGTGCTTTTTTTTTTTTTTTTTTTGGCTATTTCACTGTATAGAGTGGCCCCTAAATGAAGTCCTGAAATGCCGTCTGGGGTCCCTACGGCTGGAAAGCCGGGATGTGCCTAATGGAGAAAATAAGTGTTAGATGAGCTTTGTTCAAGCACGAGTTTTAGTGCTGTTGGCTGTGAGTTCAATGTTAACGAAAACTTCCAGAGAAAGGAAGATAGAAATTCACCACTCTGGAAAATGCTGAAGTAAAATCTGTGGCATGTGACGAAGATGTGCAGCTATATTTGCGGATTCACAAGATGATGTCTGGCTAAAAAAAAAAAATAGCAGACTACATTATTGTGCAACTAAAAACGAGAGAATTTTACAGTCATGTTTCCCAGGGTCAGAAAAGCGTTAGACCCTTCTGAGCTGGTGCTGGCTGGCTCTTGAAGCTTGGAAGGCCTCACAGCATGAGAAAAGGTAAAAACTTGCAGGCGAGGCAGGTTCTGTCGATCAGGAGGCTGCTGAAGAATTTTTAAAATACCTACTGAGTGTTACGCAGGAAAAGGGTTATGTGGGTAAGCAGGTTTCCAGCACTGATGGGACGGGCTTGTTTTTTTTTTTTTACAAGGACACTGGCAAACGAATCTGTATAACAGAAGTAGTGTCTCCTTTGATAAAAATGTTGTGATCAGAGGCTTGCAGGAACCGAACCCTGTATTTCCCGTAGGAGCAAAGTTCAGTATTTGCGAATTCGGCGTGCCTGGCGACTTTATGTAACTGCCACAAATCATGAGAGTTGACTGTGTGTTCTACACCTTGATTGCTTGGTTAGCACCAGAGTTCCATCCTTCACTGGATGTGATACGCAGCAGAATTACAGAACATCAGCATCCGGTGTCAGCATCATTTAGACAGTTCTCAGTAATTATGCTTGAAAAGATAACTAAAACCCACCACCATTGACAGTGTATATTTCCAAACAGCACCATACTTGAAGAGTGTATAAAGTCAAAGAAGAGAAGTCCAGTTTTGCTTTGTCTCTGATATATTGCTCATGAGAATTTGGTTGTGTTGTCCCCAAATCCTTAGAAGTCAAGCACAACCCCACCAAGAAAACCAGCTTATAATTAATGTCCAGAGCAGATGTCCACACCATTCCCTATGGTTGTATCCTAACATAATCCAAGATTGAAAATAACATAGACTGGCTGTCTTTTGAGGAGCTTTTTAACTTTTGTCCAGGGTGTTAAGGTAATACTAAGATGTCTTTTCACTAGGAGGCCCAGGGACACACAAATCCAGCCTGAGACCAGTCACTCCTCTCTATAAGATCCTCAAGAGAAATGGACAGAAAAGTAAAAAGAAGTGAAGGAGTGATTTCTTACTCTGCCTCATTGACCCCAAACACAGATTCTCAGGCCCCACATGCTGGATTAGAATGGTTGGGGTGGGACCCGACCGTGTGTCGTTTATTCTCATTGAAGCTTCTCTGATAATTCTGATTCATATCCTCAATAGACAGCTACTGCCCTGGAACGAATCATGAAGAACGATTGAAGAATTTTAACTAGGTAATGGACGTGATCAGATTTAAATTGAAATGACTCTGGTAGCAACATGGAAGAATCAGAGGCACAGAGAGAAGGGGACTGAGGATATTCTTAATTAGAGAGAGCAGTCAGGTCACCTTTGGAGCTGTTAAAATGCACCCACCCAAGATCCTGTCTTCCCATGGGTGTTCCCGCTCTGTGGGTCACAGTCTGGGGCTTTGAACAGGTTTGCTTTTGAGAGGCTTCCCAGGTGATTCTCTGGTCTAACTATAATTAAAAACCACGACTCTAGCAACTGGTCTAAAAGCCACCATAGTAATAACCAGTCATATTCTCTGTTATACAAAAGCCCTCTACCTCACAGCGGTAAAGGACATTCAGGACCATAATATGCGACCACCAGGGGGGCCAGGAGTGAGTGTTAATAAATACGAGTGGCTATTCAGACCTCTTCCCATAGTGCTGCCTGACTGTTCCATCTGAGAGTATAACCTAACTCAACACCACTTATTCCCCAAACCATCCCATTTTCTGTGTTGGAAGAACCTCCAGTTTCTAGCTGCCAGGTTTCAGGGTGCTGAGGATGGAATTTATAGCAGAAGGGATGGATTTGAAATCTGGAGCTGCTCCCTCGCTACCTCGCTTACTTTCTCCCAAGAGTCTGGCGCCTTTTCTAACTCCTGTCTGACTTGTTTATTTTCAGGCAACGTGATGAAGCTGGAGGAACAGAAGTCAGACCTGGAAAGGCAGCTGAAGACTCTGACTAAGCAGATAAAGGTGAGATTTGGCTACAGCAGGGGATAGGGAGCCTTCTCTGTTGTTTTACTAAGCGCGTCCCCGCCTTCGGTTTGGAACCCTTCGAAAAAGACCCTGTTGCCTCTTGTAGCCTGCTTTCTCCATACCTTCCCGTGGGCCCTGGAACCACAGAGTAGTGTTGGCAGGAAACAAAATCAAAGCAGTCTTTGAATTTCACGATAAATGCTGATAGCACGAGAGCGTCCTTCCCAGCCGGGCCGGGCCTTTTCCCGGTGGTGGGACGGCACTGAAGGACTCACTAAGGGCTGCCTGACGTGGGGCCCCTGGGGCCCCTGCCCACACACCGGCCCCGGCCGGCCTCTGACGCCGGCGTGGCTTCTGGCATTTTCAGGAGGAGACAGAGGAGTGGAGGCGGTTCCAGGCGGACCTGCAGACGGCGGTGGTGGTGGCCAACGACATCAAGTGTGAGGCTCAGCAGGAGCTGCGTACCGTGAAGAGGAGGTTGCTGGAGGAAGAGGAGAAGAACGCCAGGCTGCAGAAGGAGCTGGGGGACATGCAGAGCCACGGCAGGTCGGTCACGACAGAGCCCCGCGTTTGTGAGTCTACGGGCACCCACACCTGCTTGGCTTCTCCCTTACTCACCGTGCATGAGCCTTCGCCGTCTAGAGACGTGGCGCTTCTCTGTCTCTCTGTGCAGAATCTTTTATTTCTCTTCTAAGCTCACTCGACCTCTGCTGCCACCACCACACACAACCAGGAATGGTCCATTCAGGGCTGGGCCACTGCCCTTCTCTGGCCTGAGGCAGTGAGAAAACTCTTCACTCACCTGTGTGCAAAAGTTTTAGCCAAGTGTCCTCCTACATTTAAAAAATAGAAGTACGTCTAGGATGCTCCTTTCCTCTTGGTGCTTATTAGTGCAGGGGAGCATACACTTCCCCGGGCCACGGCAACACCTTGCGTGCGTCCCTCTCATGCCGTGGGCAAGACTGGACTCACTCCTGGGGGATTTGCCACCAGAGAAAGGACCCACTCCTCATGGCCCAGGGACATGCTTCTCCCTTGGCAACGCCTGGGGGCTGCCTCCAAAAGCCCTTGAACGAGCCCACTTTATTAAAAAGGATGAGCATGGAAAACATACATCTGGCTGACACGTGACTTTCCTTTTCTGTGCCGAGGGAGGGAAATCACGCAGTGTGTTGTTCCAGAAAGCTCTTCCTAACAGCGAGGTTTCAGAGGAAGGTGTTGCTAAAGTGAGCTCAAAGTTCATTATTATTTGAAATTTAAAGGGTTCACAGACGAGATGACAAACAGTACTTCAGGCCTTAACGAATGCAGTGTTCCCAGTCGCTAGTCCAGAATAACTCTCCCTAACTTTGAGATTCTTGGATATTAGGAAATTATTTTGAATTTTCAGATGTCTTTCAAATATGAAACATAGTATTTTAAAATCAGATTTAGTAAGTTCTGAATGCTGATTTGTGCAGTTGGCCCTCTTTACAAGTTTTCCAGGATCAAGAGGGTTGTTCATTGGCTAGATTCTGAGCCTCTGGGTCTGATGTATTATCGTGAGTTTCAGGACATTAGAAAAAGTAGATTTCTTCTCAGAATTCTGTGTTGATTCTCTCACCAAACTCGCTTCATTCGGTCCCTCCTTCCTTCATTTATGAGTTTTATATGGAACAGGCTGTAGGGGCGCCCGGGTGGCTCAGTTGGGCGTCCGACTCTTGATCCCAGCTCATGTCTTGATCTCAGGGTAGTGAGTTCAAACCCCACGTTGGGCTCCACGTTGGGCATGGAGCCTGCTTAAAAACAGGCTGTAGAGAAGGATTCAGATTAATATGTGTGTAGCTAGTTCCATGATTCACTCTTGAAAATCAAGATCGTTGTTTTATAGTCACACCTATACCCTCTGTCCACCAAAGCATGTGAATTTTAAGGAGGAAGGGGAATCGCAAGACTAGACTGTTGAAGGGATCATGAGTCCCCTCGTTTGCTTTTGTGCTTCTGTTTAATTTGTCCACTTGTCTTGCTTTTATGATGTGTGTCTTTGGAAGAGGAACCAGATCATAACTTGCATCGCTTCGTACATGTGTTATTGTAAAGATAAATGATAAAAGACGAGTCTCGAGTTCATGTAGTTATCGTACAAGCTGCTGCATTTCTTACCTGGAGTCTACGATACAGGCCAGATCATACAACTCGAACTCTGATACCGTAGGAAATCTCCGCACGAATCTTGACGATTAGGATCCATATACGATATTCTACATCGTCAAACATAGAGTCACCTTATTTTTTTTTACAAACACGGTACATTTCTCTTATGATTTTTCTGGTGATTTGCAAACCTACCACCCAAATCCAGCAGTTTAATCCCTTATCACAAAACATTTCAAAATTGTAGGGCTGACACCAGCCCAGGACATGGCATATGATTGAAACCCCACAGGCGTCAGTGGGTTTGGGGCCTGTCATTGCGTTGGGCAGGGTTTCAGACAGCAGCCAGACCCAGTGTCCACCGTGGTTCTGCAGACTGCCCCTTCTAAAGAGTTGACTCTGAAAGTTACTCGCTGCTGGCTCAGCCACGTCCTGAACCTGCCCCCTGAGCAAGACTTGAAACCAACCCACACCCTCAAAGGTCCTGAAGCGATATAGTGTTTCCATCCTGGCCGAATGGGTTCTCGACTGAAACTGGATTTGACTTTGACAGTCATTTCATGAGAACTCAAAGGCATTTTTGGTTCAGCCACAGCCAAAGAACTTGCAGAAAATTCTCTGATGAGGTCCTCCAAGTACAACCAAGAGAAGGTAAGAGCACTTGAAAAGCACCTTGATCCTAACATGGCATTAACAGATTCGCATTCTCACTTTGCATATACAGGCATTTGAGGGGATATAGTCAGGCAAGTAGGATTTTAGAAAACTCTAAGAACCAGCTCGTTAGCAATCTTCAGTCTTACTGTGTCTTCAAAAGGATTTTTATTTTGGAGTCAGAATAACGGATGTGAAGAGTAGATGGGGAAACGAGGCTCTAGTCTTTGCCACCAACTGGCAAGATTTCCTTCCCAGACCCAGCTGCTCCCTTCCTCCGAGGAGATGAGAGTGGGTTGTGATTGAAGATCCCTGTAAGCTCCACTGTTCCCTGAGACTAGTTGGTCAGCTGGCCTTTCTCCGATGGGGGAGTGAGGAACTCACATGCCAACCGTACCATCTGTCCAATGCGGTCCTTGGAACCTGCTGGACACAGTGGCATCTCTACATTTTAGCTAGGCTGTGGACCTCCTCTTTTTCTTCCAGGAATTTGAACAAGCCAATGTAGTTTTTAGGCACCTGGAAGTGATCTGTTTTTGCTGGACACTTACAAACTAAGGGATGAAAGGATACTGAATAACTTTTTCAACTTTGGCTTCTTCCACCCTTGAGCCATTAAGAGCAAGCCATTACAGTTCAAACTTCCATCGAAATTAAAACATCAAGCCTTTTTCCTGAAAAGTTGAGACCTGGGGCCTGGCCTCCAGATACAGAGAACACACACACGCAGCTCCCCTCAGTGACTTGATGGGGCCACACGAAGGACATTGTTGACCAGCAGTGCATGACACGGGCTTCTCGAACAGTAACAGGAAAGACCATGTACCTTTTTTCTCTTACTCTGAAACACTAAAGGCCATTATTTTTAGGGTGACTTACTCGATTTTTACCGTTCATCCTATGATACCAATAAACTTCCACGGAAAACATCTTAAAAAAGAGATGGTTAACAAAACACCTAAACGTTGGTGCCTAATTAGCAGTAGGGACTTCTAAGCAGAAGGTCTGAGATTCAGAACGTGTCTAGCTTCTTCCACTGGTTCCTGCATCGTCACCTCTGAAGCGAGCAGCATGGTGGCCCGTCACTGCCGGACTCTTCTGGAATCGGCTCTAACTCTGTGTGCACAGTGTATCCTGCCCTAATGTCAGTTGCCTGCCTTTGCCACTCTCTTTGTCCTTACAACTGTTGTGCGTCACAGCTGTGGGTTCTAGAGCCGTCACTGAAAGGCCGAGTGTGGGAGCTGGTGGTGTAGATGCTCGGGGTCACTGAGATACCTTTTCCAGCTCTCTTGTTGCAGATAACTTTGATACAGCCGCCCTAGCCCTGCCAGAAGGGGACCAGTCCTCGGGGGGAGTTCCTGATCAGAGCCTCGGGGGCCCCTGACACGTTGGCATCACAAGCCTTCCACGCCTTCTGCTTTCATAGCTGCCATCCGCGTCACTGGCATTGGACACACGGCCCGGAATGGCGACGAGCTGGGTTTGCTGCCCTGCCCCCCGGCCCCCATCTTCACAGAGTTGCTTTGCAAAGTGTGGACATGAGCTTCCCTGAGGCCTTTAGGACTCCTAAGCCTCAGTACTGAAAGAAATCCTTTTTTCTGGGTTGTTTTTTTTTGGCCTTGACTGTAGGACAGTAGAGGGAAGCTCGAGCCACTCTGTAAATTACAGAGGCCCCCGATTTTGTGCATCCTGGCCGTCTCTACTTCCCCGACACGTTGTCTGTTAGAGGAGGTCTAGGGAGAGGGGCCCAGTAGTGGTGTTCTGAAGTCTTTGGCATGTTTTCTCCGTCCAAAGACCTTTGACTTCCAAAAAAAAAAAAAAAAAATTAGAGGAGTAGGAATTAAAACACATTGGTCCTGGGGCGCCTGGGTGGCTCAGTCGTTAAGCGTCTGTCTTCAGCTCAGGTCATGATCCCAGGGTCCTGGGATCTAGCCCCACATCAGGCTCCCTGCTCGGCGGGAAGCCTGCTTCTCCCTCTCCCGCTCCCCCTGCTTGTGTTCCCTCTCTCGCTGTGTCTCTCTCTGTCAAATAAAGTCTTTAAAAAAAAAAAAACACATTGGTCCTATTCTAGATACTAGCTCTTCCCTGTGGGTCAGTAGCACCTGTTAAATCTTCTGTTTGTAGCCTGAGATCATGTTGCCTCAAGTAACTCCTTTATGAGCCTTTCCCCCCCTCCATTTCTGTTTTCACAGCTCCATGGTCTCTATCAGCTAGCAGAGCATTTTCTGGAAGAAAGACAGCCCAGCCCTTGCCATGATGGGAGAATACAGCCATTGCTATATGAAAGGGGGAATAATGTGGGGGAGAAATTACCTCTTTACAAAGAGCCAGATTGTCTCCTTATACCCGCCACTGTTTCACACAGAGTCATGGCGATCCAAGTGTCTTTACCTGTTTTCTACATTTTGGAATCAACTCATTGCACGATCAAAGATGATCCTTCCCTCTTTTTTTTTTTCCTTCCTTCTCTCTTTTTCTCAGAAGATTCGGCAGTCTTTTATTTGGAGCATAAGATGAAGTTGTTCTGGAAAAAAAAAAAAAAAACAGAGTACAAGCATGTTGTGAAGCTTTTTTATATGCAACTAGGGTGTGCAGAGAGAGCAGAGGACAGAACAAATGCAGAGCATGGGTCGCTGGTGCACACGATCCATGCCTGTGTCTTACTTTTTGGAGTTTATTTCTGTGCTTCCTCTTGAACATGGTGTCTCATAATCTTGGAATTAACACTACTTATGGCAAAATAGGAAGCCGTCTGTGTC